CTTCACCAGCACACATACAGGCAGAGACACACCCAGCTGCAGAAACATACAGACGCTGTGATCAGTTCTGCATGGGAAGGCTTCAGCTAAGGGACTTCCCGGCTACTCAGGCATGCACCCCCCTCTAGAGGGTAAACCCAAAATTATACCGACTTGTGCTGCTCAGGGAACTGTACAGCGTAAGCTCATGAAATTTCCCCCTCCCTCAATATGGAGAAGAAATATACAACCGCTTTTTACCCCAAGTTATAACTTCCTCAAACTGGTTTGTGATAAAGCAAAACAAATTTATTAACTACAAAAGAGATTTTAAGTGATAAGGGAGAGCAAACAGATCAAAGCGGATTACATAGCAAATAGACACAAAGACAATCTAAGTTTAATAGACTAAAGAGCTTGGATAGGGGTAGCCACTTCTCACCCTAAATGGTGATTTGAGCTGGTTGCAGGGATTCTTAAGCTGCCCTTGCTTGCAGTTTAAAACCCCCAGGTATTCCTGTCACAGGCTAGAAACCCCTCTCGCCTGGGTCCAGCCCTTCTCCCCCAGTTCAGACCTTGTTCCTCAGGTGTTTCCAGGAGTCTCTGTGAGTAGGGGGTCAGTGAAGAACCACGATGATGTCACTCCCCTGCCTTAAATAGCTTTTGCATATGGCGGGAACTCTTTATCTTTAAGCTTGGCTCCCACCTCCGGTCAATGGAAAAACACTGGTATTCCAAGATGGAGTCCAGTACCAGGTGACTTGGTCACATGTCCCTGTAGGGTCATAGCAGCAGTGACTCAGAGGCTGTTTGTAGTGTCCTTAAAGAGGCTCCCTAGGAAGGCCCCCCCCCCTCCGGGTGGGAGATTAGCTTCTTCTAAGACCTATTGTTCTCCCTAATGGCCCTTCCTAGCCAGCCATCTAGACTGAGACTCTTTTGCCTAGTGGGTGTTCCCAGCTGTAAACACATTTGTAATAGATACACAGGCCATATTCCTAACTTCAGATACCAAAATGATACATGCCTACAAGTAGGATAATCATCTTCAGTAAATCAGAACCTTCTCAATATCTCACATGCCTTATCTTGCACAAAAGACAGCAGAATCATGCCATACTCTTATCATAATATTACTATGAAGAATATGGGGCGTAATGTCACAGCCCGATCCTGGTGCCGTTAGTTATGACTGTAATACTAAAGTATGGTTTTCTGGTTAGACCAGGGAGTGTGATCAGCAACTCGGATGCTAGAAATGGCAACAAACTAAAATAGCCAGGTAAGCACCGGGGGACAGGCGGGCTAATGGAGAGAGACAGAACCAGTCACTGGCTCAAAGTCAGCCCAGATCAGCAGAGAGTGGAAGCTGCTACCACCTTGCCAGGCACCCAGGGAATAAATATCCGTATCATTACAATCCTAGCGCGCTCAGCTCAGCCACACCTGGAGCAGGGTGACCGCAGACTCGCTCCCATCTTCTCCTTAAACACACTGATCGCCTATGTTTGAAGGGTTGGCCCAGCCTGGGCCCTGAGCCCCTCCTCCAAAGGGGAAAACAGAAGGGAGAGACGAGCATGGAGGGAATGGAGATGGGGTAGGGGAGGAAAAGCAATAGCTGAAGGTAAGAACAGATGTTTAGTGGAAGGGCCCAATCAGAAATACCTTGAAGAAAGCAAAGGGTTGGGAAACACTGTTACAAAGAAACCAGGCTGAAGAAGATACTCTAATGTACAAGTGGGACCAGGGAGAGTAACTTTAGTGGTTTGTGTTTTTAAATCTGATTTAATTGTGGCTTGGATGTTCTCACGCCAAAACAAATGGGAACCCCCCTCCCCGCTTTCCCCAGGGAGGGAGCGCTGGCTGCTGTGTGCATCAGTCGCCATTAGGCAGCTTGAGAACCCATTCATTTTCCCTTTCACAAGTTGATAAGTATGCACTGCAACTGGCATGAATAGGCAGCCCCGCTGGCTGTGGAGGGAGGCGAACGAGTGAATGGCTTTGAAGCTGAACTTCCCACTGCGACATGATGCCCTGCGAGGTCAGGGCAGAGGCATGCTGGCAGGGCCATGCGAGGGCAAGCTTGCCCTGAGGCTGCCCACACCACTCCTGGGGATGAATAGAGCGCTCTAGTCTCAGGCCTGGCACATCTCGCAGCGCTGAATTCACAAGAGAAAATGTACTTGCCTTAATACAGTCCCCAGAGCGAACATGCCAGCACCTTCTCAGGGCTGCAGAGCAGCGGATCTAAAGCGAGGGTGATGAGCTAGACAAAAGCACCTGCCCTGGCCCAGATCTCAGCGCTGAGAGCCCGTGGCCCATCCGTGGAGGGTCCGATTAAAGCGATGCCATTGCTACTGTGATGAAGTGCCTGTGTCAGGCTGGCTGTGGATTAAGGAAGAGCAGAGAAGTGCGTGAGCACACTGCAGAGCACGGTGCAGCAATGTGTTACTAAATCCACCCAAAGCCGGCGCAGCCCTGCTCTGCCCTGGGGATGCCGACAGCAGGACGAGAGCAATGACCGTGGGCTGTAGATGGCGACCGGTGAGCCTGGCTGACCCTCGGCAGAAGCTCCGTCTTGCTAGGCTGCACCTGGAGGCTCCTGCCCACACTCACTGGCGATTTGGTGCCTGATTTTGGGCCTCCGTAAGAGCTTTGCCTTTGGGAATGACAGGCCTTTCCTGGGCTGAGAACTGGCCTGTGCTTTGTACCGGCCTTGCCAAAGGGGCCGATCTCATGAATAGGCTCCGAGTAATGGAGACAGATTTCTAAAAATTTCACATGAAGAGCTTTTGCCTCACCGTGATCCATTACCCAACTCCGTGCTGGCATGTGCTGGAGCCAAAGTTTTGGAACTTGGATTTGTAAAGTTCGATTCCAAACCTAATTTGCCTGCTTCAATACAGTAGCCTGATATCCAAAAGTGCTGCGGCCCCATTCGGACCCTAATCCGAAGCCTCTTGGGGCCTGCCTCTCTTATGCTCCCCTGACTTCTCCCCGGTGAGGGCTTGAAATGCTAGACCAGCTGGCCTTGGCAGCTGCCTCTGACATCCGCACTAACCTCGATCAGATACCTGAACAAACATCTGACATGATGTAGCTCAAACAATTCATCTACCTCCTAGAGGGCAAGGATCCCCCTGTCTCACCCTTAGACTGCCTGTCCAGGGGGAAATCAAACCCTATGAAACAGCAGTTTCTGCAGAGAAATTTGCCCTTTAGGAATTCCCATAAAATAAGCTGCAGAGAAACTCCAAGCAAATGAGAGAGCCACCATGAGTTCAGCACACACTTGAATAATTCAGTCTCTTAGAAATCCCCTGTATGTCCTGGAAGGCAAGAGCGCATCGCCCCTTCTGGATCTTCAGAGCATCTTCTCTTGGGCATCTGTTTCGGGCATGTGTTTCAGCCATCTGGCCTTGAATGTAAGATTGGGCCCCAGCCATCAACTCTGCCCCACCCTGGGATCCAGCCAGCCCCAACAGGAATGGCTAGAGGCGAGATTCCTCATGTGGAACTCTTTGCGCGAATGCTTTGAAAGCTTTACTGCTGGGGGGAGGAGAATACAGATTCTGGGAACTCCTAGGGCTCCAGTTAGGCTTTCAGATCCTAGTTGGAAACTGGAGAGTCATTACATCCACAGGAGGGCAAAGTTTATCTGGCAAATGCTGTTATTTGGGAGTCTTCTACCCACATTGCAATGCAAGTTCTTTGGACTCGTGATCTCCTCGCTGTTCAGTTAGCCCCTTTGGGGCAGAGATGGTCATGCTGGGGTGGAAGCTGAGGATTTTCTGGTCTGTCCATGGTGATCGTGGAAATAGTTTGGTAAACTCGAGTTGTTGTGAATTCAGCCCAGGTTGATGGTACCCGAAAGCCATTGCCCCTCTGACCAATTGCCAGGGGCCTTTGGGAAAAGCTGGCATTCAGTCCATGCTCTAGTTGGGTAGGTGTCCCCATTGCAGAAACAACTGCCACGCGTGATACCAGCTGGGCCCCTTGTTAGGAGTCATGGCGGGAAGGTTAATGGAGACCAAGTGCCCTGGCTCATTGACGTGGCCCCTTTGAGGCAGCTCTGAGTCCCCTGGCAGGGTCAGCGTGTGGGAATGCCCATGCTGTTCCTGCTGGGACTCTCAATGCATCTGGCACGCACACTTTGTTATTTGGAGCCCGGATTTGATGGCCTTTGGCTGTGTTGTAGCATATTCTAGTTTCTCAACATAGTAACTGCTGTGGCAGATCCCTCAAGTGCAGTGTCCTGTCAGATGCTTTAGAGGAAGGTTCAAGAAACTGCAATAGAGGCAGTTACGGGACAACCCACCCCCGGGAAAGCTTCCTCCTAACCCCCAGGAGATACAGGTTGCGTGTTTATATTACTTCCAATAAGTCAGACCTAAGACTTGAGGCCACGTCTCTTAGCTTCCCAGCCAGTGCTTAACCCATCAGGCTGCAGTGCTGCCAACCCAGGCTATTCTAGTGATGCATGAGGAGCTGGGGGCCAGGCTGTCAGTCACACCTGATCCCCGGGATCACAGCAAGTGGGGGGTAGCCTGTTGCGGTGGCGCTGGGCAAGTCTGTGCTCCTCTGGCCTATGGAATCACACTGCTCAGTCTTTCACTTCATGCCCATGTCACGAGAGAGGAGGCGCAAACCCTGACACACCAGCCCTAGGGAGGAGCAGAATGATAAACCCAATACTAAAGGTTCTCTGGCCAGCAGATTTGAGTGATACAATCCATGTTTTACACAGGCTCTACTTGTTCCATCGCCGCCCCCCCCTCCCCCAATGCAGTGGGTTCCTGATTAGCCAATCCATTAACTCAGCAGCTCCCGTCAGTTGTGGACTGTGTGAAATTGCTCCTTCGCTCTTATGTGTAGCTCTGAAAGACAGCAAGCGTAGGCAGCCGGGGTCACCTGCCAGTTGATGTGTGACGAGGGGGTGCTGGGGCCAACCTTCTGGGCTGGCGCAGCGCGGGGACACGTGCACACACAAACCACCGTCTTTGTGCCCCTGGTTTTCTGTGCAGCACTGACCGGGTCCCGGTGACCCTTAACCTCGATGGGATAGTGCAGGTGTTGGACTGCCACCTTCACGACTCAGCCACCGGGATGATGACCAGAATCGCAGTCCTGAAATGGCTGTATCACTTGTACATCAAGACGCCGCGGAAGGTAAGTCTGGCTTGTGAAACCATTGGTGCAATATCCTGCTCCCTTTGCGGAGCTGGCCTGGAGCTGCTTGGTCTCAGCCTAGTTATCGCTGACCACTTGTCTGTTGCAAAGCCAGTGCGTCTCCTGGCTCAGTGCCTCAGCCACGTTCTGTGACCAGCAGGGGGCACTGCAGGTAGGGAGGAGGTGCACTGGCAGAGTTGTCTGGTGGAGCCTTGGCTGCAATAGCAAGGAACGGCTGCCGAGCTAGAAGAACGGGAGTGCTTCAGTTTAGCATTGAGGTGCATTGGCAGATGGGGGGACCAGCCGCAGGCTGGAGCTAGCGGAGTTGTAACTCCGGCAGTGTGCTGCACGCTTGCTCTAGCTACCATCTTTGTTCTCAACACCCATTAACCTGAGTCCTACCATCAGCTGAGGGCCTTCCTGCGCTCTTTCTAAAAGTGCCACTAGCCCAGCGGGGCTGCAATGCGTTGAAGGCGGCTCTAGCTGCAGAAAATGGTCTGTACAAACATGAGCAATACCCCGGCTTTCATCAAAGTGAGCCCTTCTGACATTAGGGACCTTAGTAGCACGGGTAGGCAAACCGCTGCTCCTGGGTGAGGCATAAAAACCCAGCCGAGCCTCTGCCCTGTTTCTGAACCAAACACTGAGCTTTGGGTTCACTCAGAAGTTACCTGTTCTGCTACCAGTTGTCACACCCTCCCAGCTCTTCAGACTCGTGTCCCTTGCCACCACCTTCCCTGGGAGGAGAAGGCTGCCACAGACCTCCCATATGTACTTCTGTAGATCCGTTGGCGGGATTGCACTGCTAGCGAGAGGCCTCTGAAAATTCTGCTCTGCCCAGCGTCTCTGGGGTAGACCTGGGCTGGCGTCTCCCTTAAAGCCACGTGTGGCTTCTGGGGCTCTTCCATCAGGGCTGAAACTTCTGACTGCCTTTGCAGGTCGTTGGTTCCCACTGGACGCTGTGTAGGACTCTGCGGGCAGGCCAGCCTAACAGGCATCGTGCTTGGCACAGGGGTTCTTCCCATTAGACAGGCTGTGGGGGGAAGAGCGAAATGTCAGCAGGTTTGGAGAGGCGCCTGGGAAGCCCTTTTTGATCCGTCGCTCCTGACTTGCTGTAGCTGAGGTTCTATCAGTGGACTTGTTGCAAGGAGAGCGAGTGCTTGGGAGGTGGTGCTATAGATGAATTTAGATGCAGTCCCTATCCTGAGCAGCTTGGCTGGCAGTTACAGCACATCTGGGGTATGATCCAGGTGTGGGTATTAGAGCACATTGGTGCTTGGGAAGGGTTTTCAAGAATCCTCTGGAGGAGAAGGGAAGGGGCTTGGCCTTTCTAGATTGCGAGCTCTCCCAAGAGAAGGTAGAGGGGAAGACACCCCCTCTTCCTTCCCCTGGGGTGCTGCCTACCATAGACCAATCCTGGTAGGACATGTCATAAGTTCTCTAGTGGGAGCAGCTGCCATCATTCACACTGCCTGCTGCACATCAGTTCTCGTTAACCATGTGTCTAATCAGACAGGAAGTGGAATCTGAATCGATGCCCTGGTGGCTGCAGCTCCTCATGAAGAGAAGCCCAAAAATTCACCCCCAAACTACCCATGGTTTAAATAAGAAACCCTTCACTTGTAAGTCTCTTCTGGCCTTTCCTCTCGTGGGAAGGGTAGGAAAGTGACAGTGTCCCACACTAGAAACTTGCCTTCTCATTACATAGGTATGGAATCAGCTCAGCAAACAAGCAACCGTGTCCTTCTGAGATTGTACTTGTTGGCCTAATAAGTTTGCTACTGATACTTTCACCCGAGCTACTGTTTCGATCCCTACTTCGAAGAGCTTGCTAGCTAGCTGGGAGGGGAATTTCCCAAGGAAAACTGAAAAATGCCTGCAAAGCTGCACTAGCCTGCACTGACGAGGACGGCTCCTGGTGTGTGGGAGGGATATTCCAGACTCTGTGTGACTGAGGCCACGTGTTTCTCTGGTTTCAGATGTTCCGGCATACAGACAGCCTCTTTCCCATTTTGCTACGGACATTGTCGGATGAGTCAGACGAGGTGAGTGTTACACCTCGTATACAAACCCCCTGGGCTGTGCTTGCCAGCTGTCATGCTCTCACCTTAGCTTCGAGCTAGCCCGGACCAGTGCACCAGTTCGCTGTATCAGCTCTTCTCTGACTCTGCAGGATTGTCTAGCCCTTGTGGCTGCAGAGAGTTCCCTGCACGTGACCCAATTCAGTGTGTCTCACTGAGTCTACCGACAAACCCATTTCTAGCTGCAATTTCAGCGACTCCCACAGTCAAGCCTGGGACGAACCCCGTGACTCTAGAGTGTGAATTTCCCTACTCCCCTCAGTGGGCTGCTCAGCCCTAAGCCTGGTGATAATGTTAAGGCCAGCTTGATCTGTTACTGACTGGCCATTAGGGGGCGGGAGGGGAGGGGTGTTGAGCGCCCCTGCTGTCTCCCACACTGACCTGTGTGTGGGGGAGAGGAACCAAGTCACCCAGCACAAGGCCAACCTTGGTGAAGGGGCCTCCACCTGGTTTGCAGTTGGTTACTTGCTTGACTCTATTTGGTTTCCACACTGCCCAGTAAAAGGTTAAGAAGGATAACTCATGTGCAAGAGCTAGCCCACTGCAATGTCCTAGCGGAGACCAGGCCCCTGCAGCTTTTACTACAAGGTAGCTAGGCGAGATCAACTCTATACTCGCTTGCCCATGGCTGGCCTGGCCTGGCTGCCTTGCAGTCCCTTCTCTCCACCAGGGGGTTGTAGCTGGATGGCTGATGTGTTGTGCGGTGGTTAAACACGCCTTTCATGGCAGTGCGGGTGTTGGCTACGTGCAGTACCTGGCGCTCAGCTGGTGCAGCCAGTATTTCATCAGTCAGACTCCGTGTTACATTTAGCTGCTTTCAATGGCCTTTCACTCAGAAATCAGACACTACCTCGTTATTTGTGCCTGAGGGGATCATGAGAGTGGGGCGATTAGGCCTGGCAGGTGTGCTGCCGGCAGTGTGAGAAGGGCTTAGCAGCCAGCCTTGGGGTTGCGTTGGCCTGGTGTGCTGAGACTTTGACTAGCAACACGAGGCAGGAGCAGAGCTAAGGAGGGCCTTGCCCTGCCTTGTCGTGTGAATGGCAGGTGTCTCAACTTACCGTGTTGTTGCTTAATGGATGAGGCTCTAAGTCAGGGGTAGGCAACCTATGGCACGCGTGCCAAAGGCGGCACACGAGCTGATTTTCAGTGGCACTCACACTGCCCGGGTCCTGGACACTGGTCTGGGGGGCTCTGCATTTTAATTTAATTTTAAATGAAGCTTCTTAAACATTTTGAAACCTTATTTACTTTATATACAACAATAGTTTAGTGTTATATTATAGACTTATAGAAAGAGACCTTCTAAAAACGTTAACGTATTACTGGCACACAAAACCTTAAATTAGAGTGAATAAATGAAGACTTGGCACACCACTTCTGAAAGGTTGCCGACCCCTGCTCTAGGTTTAGAGCCATGCAACACAGACAACTAAACCAATATACCAGGGTAACCTGCTACTGCCAAGGGAATACAACAGCTGGCAGTACTGCCTGCAGTGGTAAGAACTGGGGCCTGGGTGTTGGACTCCTCAGTTCTATTTCTGACTCTGAAGCTGACCCCCTGGGACATTGGGAACGATGCTTTGCTTTGCTTTGCTTCACTTCACTGACCTCTTCCCTGTAAAATTGGAATATTTACCTCAAGGCAGGGGAGGGCTTGGATTTTAACCTGGGTGAGTGATGCACTTTTGACATCTTTAGATGAATGTTTTGTTCTTGTCTGCCAGCGATTCTTCTTGAGCTGCTCCTGCTGCAGAGTTGATGACTCTGCACCTTGTAACGGGAGTGTGTGAGGTCTCTTCTGCCTGGCGTTTTCTGGGTGTCTCTGATGATTGCTGGGGAAAGACAGGGTTAACCTCTCACCTGTCAGCAAGAGTGTCTCTGCCATGAGCAAAGTAGGTGTCTGTATTCTAAAAGGAACATGCATGCTCCAGTCTTTGCTCCCTGCCTTGGGCCCAGCAATTGGGCCCTGCTCATCAAAACCTTCCATCCTTAAAGGTTTTTAAGGCCCACCTTGACAAAGCCCTGGCTGGGCTGATTTAGTTGGGGATTGGTCCTGCTTTGAGCAGGAGGTGGGACTAGATGACCTCCTGAGGTCCCTTCCAACCCTGATATTCTATGATTCTATGGTCACTTCCTGGTGCTTGGCTTGGCATTCTGGAGGCACTTTGCTTCCTGTCTAACAAGATGCTCCCATTCCTGAGAGCACCTTGGCTTTTTCTTGTCTAGTCTCCATTTCCTTTTCCTTTTCTTTTCTCTGCCTCACCCTTCCCTGGTCCATTCTCACAGCCCCTAACATTCACCTCTTCCCCCTCACTACTTCATCAAGCACTTCCTGCATTCGACATTAGCAGATCTGGCAGTTACCATCAGAGGCCAGTAGCGTTTCTAACTTCTGATGCTAACGTTAGCTATGTTAGAAGCCAGAAGTGCAACCGGTGTTAAATGCCTAATGCACATAGCCCTGCTAGTGGTCTTTGGTAGGCTCATAGGCCAGACTTTCTCCGAGGACTAAAAATCATGAAATACCAGCTTTGGACTGCATGACTAGGAAGGCAAAGTTGCCCAGCCTGGAATAAATCCTTGGTTAAGGGGATTGTTGAGGGATGGGGAAAATAAGTAATATCAAGGGAATGATTTGTACTTGCAAATCCAAGCGACTGCATGGCCGCATTTCATACCCTGCTGCTTATGAGGCAAGCATTTCCAAAGCATCCCATCTGCATTTGCAATGCTCTAGAAAGCCCATATCTTGCAGATACTCTGGCTTGGCAGGAAATTGCAATGAGTCATGTTACAATTGTTTCTTTTTAATATTTAAAAATAAGCAATGCAGAAAGGACCCCGGTGATGCATTTCCTCCATGTGACATAACTGGGAACGGCTCAAAAGTAATTTGAAGAGGATTTATTTAATCCGGCCTATTGATGTAACTAGTTTTTTACTTAGGAAATCCGTAGAAGATTCAGTCCATTAAATAACACTGCTCAGCTGGCTCCTAACCTGCTTTGTTTGCTTCTTGCTGCAGTGGAAACGGGAATGCCCGAAATAGCTTTTTTTGAAGGAGTGGGAAGAGGGAGGAGATTGCTAACGTGACTGTGCAGTGAGGACTGGAGGGTAAGGGATTAGGATTCCGTTTCTGACACTGCCACAGGTGGCACTATAGAGGCTCAGGGTAGCTTTTTCTTTAGGTCAGGGGTTCTCAAACTTCATTGCACCGCAACCCCCTTCTGACAACAAAAATTATTGCACGACCCCAGGAGTGGAGACCGAAGCCTGAGCCCGCCCAAGCCCCACTGCCCCAGGCCGCAGGGCCAAAGCCGAAGCCCAAGGGCTTCAGCCCCAGGCAGGGCACCTGTAACCTTAGCCCCACCAGGACTGAAGCCCTTGGGCTTTGGCTTTGGCCCTGGGCCCAGCAAGTCTAAGCCAGCCCTGGCGACCCCATTAAAATGGGGTCGTGACCCACAGTTTGAGAACCGCTGCTTTAGGTTTACACCCTGCTCTAGACAATTTCACAGCAGCCATTTGTGAGCTCTGACTTGTCTGTAGGGTCTGGGTGAATCTGGAGCAGACGCACAGAGCCTTACCAGGGTATTCGTGGGGGTTTCTAAGTACGCTCGCATCGCAACATTCACTTTCACCTCGCCAGTGTGTGCTAAGGCCATGGGGGCAGGAATCTGGCACCTTTTGTTTATAAGGCTGCACACGCCGTGTGGTGCCACATCAAATGCACGGTCCAGCCTTGTACTGGCTAGAAGCTTGAGCATTCTTCCTATTGCCCCACACTTCCCTGGGGGAGGTGGCCTGCGGTGTGACACATTGGAGTGCAGTGTTCCCTCCCCGGGGGTACTTGTCCCCTCAAAGAAGAAGCAGCAGTGCTAGCCACTGATCCTCCAGGGGGTTAGAAATTGTCCTGCTAGCACACCCTCCAGCTGGTTTGGAGTGATCGTCCTGCGCTGGGCTGGAGCAGAAGGGACATCTGGCTTCTGATGAGTAGCACGTTCCTGCTAGTGTCTCTTGATGCCAGCCTGAAACACTACCTATAGTATAGCAAGGGGTCCATACAGTATTTAATGCCTTGCTGCTGCAGCCCAGTCCTCCTGAGCGGCTCCTAAATCACTCCCTGCGTGTTCCCAGGTGAGCTGTCCTAGAGGAAGGGAAGAAAGGCACTTGATGAGACAGTGAGGTAGGAGTTGATCATGTTATATGTTGTTCACCCCCCACAAGTTTGACTTACGAACCGGATTTGCCAGACCAGGTGTTCCCCACAGGACAGCGCCCAGTACCTGAGGTTACCCCTTAGCTTGCTTCGTCTCTCATCTCTTCGTTCCCTCTCCCCACCCTGACCCAGCTCTCAGAATCCTGCTGAAAACAGTCAGTAGAGCAGAGCCAGCCGGGTGATATTCAGAGACGGTGCAGCCCCGAGTTAGTGGCGCTGTAACACAGAAGAACAACTTGGAATGAATTTGGAGCAGGTGATTCCCTTTCTGGAACTCCGGAGCAGCAGATACAGTAGCAAGCTGGGGAAACCACTGATCTAAAACCCTGCACAGTTTTGTCGTCGTAGGTGTCACTAGTTCAGCACAAACACTCAGTGTTTTTCCTTGCATTTCTGCTCCTGTTCAGGCCGAGGGATTTTTTAACATGGATCAAATTTGATCCAATGTTGTCTCTAAATGATCTAAAATCTTGTGTAGTAAAACCCAGCTTTTATGGAACTCAAGACTAATGGGTGTATTTCCATAAGACTACTTTAACTTCCACTGGAAATACATTTTTAAACATACCCATTTCCTTGCAGCATTACAGTGCAAACATTGCAGCATTATGCTAGGGCATGAAAACCTGACAGTGAAACGCTGTAAGTAGTGAAACAGATGAGTTTCATTGTCAAGCTGAGGAACACCACAAAAAGCAAATGGCTTAAAGCAGAGGAAAATGTATGTTTGATCTTTATAATGCTT